GTTACGGAAGTTGGTTATCTTGCCAGGAATAGCACGCAGTTATCTTTCCCGTAACGCTGCGGCCCTTGACAGAACGAAGGATATAAACTCTGGGCAGCCAGTGTGGAAATATATCATCACAATTGATTTTTCCATCAACCCCTCAAGTGTTTCCTGGACCTTTGCCTCTCGTAGTATCAAAAGTCGCCTGAGCCATCCCCCTTGCGGAAACCCGTCTTCAAAGAGCTCGAAGGCTCCCAAGGCACTTTGGTTTCTGACCAACGAGGCATGTCTGACGTCCAGGTGGACTACTACACCACCTTGTACGAATCGGCACCGTCGACCGACTCGGAGAACGCCTTATCGTCATTCTTGGAACCTCTGACAAGAACGCAGCAGCTATCTGCTGACGCGCAAAAGCATCTTGCAGCTCCCCTGCTCGCCAATGAGTTTTTTTCACCCTATCAAGTATAGCAGCTCGAACTCGGCGCCAGGCCCCAACGCACTACCATTTGAAGTACTCAAGCTGGCCCCGCACAAGTGGTCTCTTGTTTTGGAACTGCTGCTTGCCAGTCAACTGAATGTGCATCCGCGACTGACTCCCCTCCAAACTTGTCAGCACTTCGGTTTTGCTGCACAAGAAGGAACCCTAATCCCAGGCGAAAAACTACCGACACATCAGTTTGCTCAATGTGGACGTCAAGATTTTGACCAGTATCTTGGCATTTCGACTCCAGCGTCACATCCGCAGCATCATTCACAATGACCAGCAAGGCATTATTCGACGAAGCAACAGCGAAACGAGTATTCAACGCCTGGATGACATGCTACACTACATGAAGCACTACAGTCCGGCGTCGATGGTGGCCTTGCTTGACTTTGAGAAAGCATTCGACCGAGTGGATCACTCCTACTTGCTACGTGTCCTTGGGTGCTACGGATTCCCAGAGGAGTTCATCGTGCGGGTGATTTACACTGACCGGCGATCAAGGATTCTGGTGAATGGTTACTCGTCCAAGCCAGTTCCTTGGCGTCGCGGAGTACTGCAAGGCGATCCGCTATCACCACTGCTCTTCGTGATTGCACTGGAGCCAATGTGCCAACTGCTGCGGATGAATTCCAAGTACGGCATCAAGACGGGCGACAGAATTCATACCGGCAGTTATTTCGCAGACAATTCGCAATTGTACGCAGCCAACGAGTCGGCCCTCCACCGCCAGCTAGCTCTGGTGCAGAGGTTTTGCGACCACTCCGGCTTTCGATTGAACGTGGACAAGACTCAAGTCCTTACGTTTTTGCCTGTGTCCGAGGCATTGGCCAACCTCCAAGTCGTCCGCACGGCCCTCACGAAAGCCCTTGGTATCTTGGTGGCTCCCAATTTACCCACCCAAGCTCGATTCAACTAAGTGTTTGACAAGTTTGTGTCTCGCTTGTCCTTGTGGCTGTACAAGGCTCGAACACTTGCTGGTCGAGTCGTGATCTTCCACTCCATATGCTTGCCAGTCATGTGGTACCAACTGGCATTCGTCCCAGCCAACAAAGAACTCGCAAGGAAGATCGATAAAGTCATGCTCCATCCAGTTCATTCATGGAGAAGACTTCAATCCATCTGCCACTTCGTCTGGACTGCGGTTGATCAAGAAGGATCTTGTATTTCTGCCGAAGAAATTTGGAGGGCTGGGCTTGCACCACGCGATGGACTTGTGGCAACGGCGGAATTGCTCAGTCATGCTTCGCTATGTCAAAGAACTCGCCACGTCGTCATCGAGGTCCTCGATGGGCTATTGGATCATGCCTGGATATTGTTTGCTGGAGAAAGTATTTTATCCATGGGGCTGTCCGTGGGAACTCTTGCTCGCTGACGGGAATTCACACTTCATCCGTCAACTCGTCAAGAACACCAACATCACACCAAGTTGGACAACGATTCTGACGAACTGGTTCGAGTTTCGCAGAGTTCCATTTGGATATCCGTTGTCGGAGATGTCTCTCGATGTCCTTCTGTGGCACAACGCGTTTTTGCCGGGTTTGCACGAGCAGTGCTCAAGAGACACCCAACTACAAGCACTGACGCTTGCCCACCTGAAGATCACGAGGCTTGCACACTTGTTGACGCCCTGTGGTCGCGTTTGGCCCGTCTCGGGTTGTTTCCCAAGATCCAAGCCGCTTGTACACACGCAAACCTGGCTCCACCAACGCGACGGTGGATCATAGTCTTGGTGGCCAAGGTATCGGCAGTACATGGGGAAGTCTCGGAAGGATTCGACCTGCTGTTTGTTTTCCCCAGATCAAGACCGACTTGGTTGGACTTCCAGTGGGTGCTATTCCATCGCAACATTCCGTTGCTGTTGGCCTCCGCAAGTTCCAAGATCGCAAAGGTTAATAGGACAGACGCGGGTGGATTGCAGCTACGGACCAAACACCTGAACCTTCCTGAAGACTTCTACGCCGACCAAAAGCGAGCTTATCAACTGGCCGCGATGCAACAGCCACAATTCACGTTATAACGAGTTCGTTTACGAGACCGTCCTGCGAGCACACGCGATGCAGTACTTGTTACAATACCGCGAACCTCAGTTCAAGTGCAATTACTGCGGCGCCAACGAGACATACCAACACTTCCTGTTCGAATGTCGGTTTAGCCAAGAAGTTTGGACTCCATTTGGCTCGATCCATCGCCTCTTGTCTTGCGCTGTACCGGTCAATGCGAAGGAACTGGTCTTCGACGTACCCAAGCCCCGGTATGGGTATTACTGTATGTGTGTGGTTTTCTGCGAATTTGGCTTATCGTTCGTGCATGCGTCCTCAACAGCATTTGGCTGCAACGTAACGATCGCACGTTTCGACCCGACCTCCCAAACAAGACCTCAATGGAACTCGCCGTCCAAGTAGCCCACTTGATCAAGCTGCACCTCAGCCAGCTACTGCAGGACCTACCGATCAAGAAAAGCTACTCCAAGGTCTTCAACACGCTTCGAGTCCTCAGCACTGACGTTTGTCTACGTCAATATCTTGTGCCCAATGCAATCACAGACTCATAACTGACAAGATGAATTCACTCAAGGTTCGACGGTAAGACAATTGCGCCTTCCAGCCCGACCTCTAGCACACAAGAATCAAGCTGCGTTACCTCCTACACAGTTCTAACTATTTATGTAGTACGAGGCAACTAGGTTAGTTCAATAGAGTCTTTGCTCAAACAATATGGGTAATGAACTTATTTCAACCGCGATTTGGACCAAAATTGGGTCCAAATCGTGGGGTTTTCGACTTGGACCTCCCAGATTTGGACCCAGATTGTGTGCAAAGTGCATGGGGTGGTCATACTGGACCTCCCAACCACCAATGCACACCTGTCGTCACGATTGTCGTCCAAAATTTCGTCATCGTCATCGTCACGGATATCGTCATCCGCGTCGTCATCTGCACCCTCGCCAATTTTGTCACTCGCACCGTCACCTGCATGGACACGGTTTTCGTCATCTGTGTCGTCGCCCGTGTCGTCGTCAGCATGATCGCGGATTTTGGCACCACTTGGGGCCGATTTCGAGCCAAAATCGTGCACTTTTTCCCTTCGAAGCCGCGATTTGGACCAAAATTGGGTCCAAATCGTGGGGTTTTCGACTTGGACCTCCCAGATTTGGATCCAGATTGTGTGCAAAGTGCATGGGGTGGTCATACTGGACCTCCCAACCACCAATGCACACCTGTCGTCACGATTGTCGTCCAAAATTTCGTCATCGTCATCGTCACGGATATCGTCATCCGCGTCGTCATCTGCACCCTCGCCAATTTTGTCACTCGCACCGTCACCTGCATGGACACGGTTTTCGTCATCTGTGTCGTCGCCCGTGTCGTCGTCAGCATGATCGCGGATTTTGGCACCACTTGGGGCCGATTTCGAGCCAAAATCGTGCACTTTTTCCCTTCGAAGCCGCGATTTGGACCAAAATTGGGTCCAAATCGTGGGGTTTTCGACTTGGACCTCCCAGATTTGGATCCAGATTGTGTGCAAAGTGCATGGGGTGGTCATACTGGACCTCCCAACCACCAATGCACACCTGTCGTCACGATTGTCGTCCAAAATTTCGTCATCGTCATCGTCACGGATATCGTCATCCGCGTCGTCATCTGCACCCTCGCCAATTTTGTCACTCGCACCGTCACCTGCATGGACACGGTTTTCGTCATCTGTGTCGTCGCCCGTGTCGTCGTCAGCATGATCGCGGATTTTGGCACCACTTGGGGCCGATTTCGAGCCAAAATCGTGCACTTTTTCCCTTCGAAGCCGCGATTTGGACCAAAATTGGGTCCAAATCGTGGGGTTTTCGACTTGGACCTCCCAGATTTGGACCCAGATTGTGTGCAAAGTGCATGGGGTGGTCATACTGGACCTCCCAACCACCAATGCACACCTGTCGTCACGATTGTCGTCCAAAATTTCGTCATCGTCATCGTCACGGATATCGTCATCCGCGTCGTCATCTGCACCCTCGCCAATTTTGTCACTCGCACCGTCACCTGCATGGACACGGTTTTCGTCATCTGTGTCGTCGCCCGTGTCGTCGTCAGCATGATCGCGGATTTTGGCACCACTTGGGGCCGATTTCGAGCCAAAATCGTGCACTTTTTCCCTTCGAAGCCGCGATTTGTGTGAAGATGCAAATTAACTTTGCTCTGGAAATTTCTAGAACAACGGCTCCTGCTATTCCAATATTGCAAGTGAGTGAAGATACAAACATTAACGTGCGACAGAACATGTCCAGTAGTGAGTGTAGGTTGATAGCTTGACAGGTTAACAACTAATTCACTTCCCAATTATCAAAGTTTTACTCAAGTGCAATTATCATCCATTTGGACCAAAATTGGGTCCAAATCGTGGGGTTTTCGACTTGGACCTCCCAGATTTGGACCCAGATTGTGTGCAAAGTGCATGGGGTGGTCATACTGGACCTCCCAACCACCAATGCACACCTGTCGTCACGATTGTCGTCCAAAATTTCGTCATCGTCATCTGCACCCTCGCCAATTTTGTCACTCGCACCGTCACTTTCGAATTTGCCTCGTACCGCTCAAGTCAAGAAAGTTCTCAGTGCCGCCGCGCTCAAGATGCCCGCCGAAAACAGCTGGATGCTTTTCCGTGAGACCATCACTCACGGACCCGAAAAATCAAAATTCTGCGAGGAAGATGTGTCTGGTTCAACCACCCATCCGGATGGTGGACCTGTTGTGAGTAACACTGTGTTACTCACATCGAATGAAGATCTCGATGACGCCATTGGCCGAGCTCCGACCTTCGCCGCCGGTGTTTCCAGCGTCGGGTCTACGATTGGTGTGCCGTCAGGTGAAGACCTCACTCAGGCGGGTGAGCCCCTTGGCGCTGCAGGTGGCTGTGTGCCTTACGTGTCCGTAGCTGAAGGTGCCGGCGCGGGTAACTTCGGAATGCTGCAGGCTCGTTCGTCGTCCCTAGAGGCTCCAGGTAAAGACACCTCAGTTGATACTGTCCTCCCGGGGACTCAGGGGGAGGGTTGGTACGCTGAGGGCGGTTCTCGCCGGAGCAAACGTGTATTCCCATCACCGTTTCGCTGGGACGACGACGTCGGGGGTCAAACACATACCGGAGAAACCTCGCCGGGTACCAACGGTCTTGCACCGACCAGTCTTGTGAACAACGAGGCTGGTCACACAGCTACCCATTGTGGCCCCGCCTGTGCTGAGCCTCCCAAAACGGGAGAGGAAGAAGAACCCGTGGGCTCGACTGGAGACACTGCTCGCGTGAGCATGGCAATGCCGGCTCGATTAACGGCGAAGTGAAGCCGTCTCGTTTGAAAAGTGGAGTGGGCACCAAGAACGGAGAAGAAAGCGCTAAAGTCACACCAACGAAAGTATCCAAACCCAAAGGAACTTCGCAAAACACCAAGTTCCGTGAAGTGGGTGGACACGCTGTTGCCGACGATGCCATCGCTTGGTGTGAAGCAGTGGCGGGTGCTTTCTACAAGAACCCTGCAGACATGGACGCATTCATCGAAGACATTCTTCTGATGCCCCATTGTCAAGTCTACGAGCTGACAGTGCACTTGGGCGAAGGCTACCGAGATTGGAAAGAGAAGACTCTGTGCAATCAATTCGTCAAGTAATAGCCGGGATCGCTGTGGGGATCCAAGTTCCGCGAAATCCTGACCCACAAGCGCGATCCTGTTACCATGGTCATCTCGTGCTACAGCTTGGCAACCTGTATCGCGATGGGCGGATCCACGTTCACGCTCGAAAGGAAAGATTTTCAAGTCCCCAAGTATTCGCAGTACGCGAACAACTACCACGTCACCTTTCACAAGGTGAACAATCCGTCCGTGGCACGTGCGATCGTGAAACAATTGGCGTTGGTGACGAAGAGAGTGGTCGCTGCGTTCAATCCAACGGCAGATCAAAATGTGGCTTCGCCTCATTTGCGCGTGACCTTCAAGACTTAGTCACCTCCGGTGGCTTCACTTCCCAAGGACGATCCTCCCTTGCGGGAAATCACCGTCATCGACCCAGCTGATCAACCAGTTGCCCTTGTGTTCCAACACAAGATTGCAGTGTTGAACAAGCATGTACCTCCGTCCGTAAAGGCTCACCAGAGGAAGCCACAGGGATCCGGCGGAAGTCCCCGGGATTCAACGACCAATACAACTGCTGGTACCTCCTGTTATTGGACTGGTAAGACACCGCAACAACTCGAGGACACACTCCTTTGTCGCCAACCCCTGAGGTCGAGCATTCGAAAACTCGAAGCCTTGCGGGCAGCGACATGTCGATTGAACAAGGACACGGTGGGGCGCCAACAATGGAAGACTATGACATGGGTGACGCTGCAGTCAGCCCGCCAGTCGTTTTGAACGCAAACGAGGTGAATGCTATGGAAGGCATGGACACTCCACACCAAATCCAGCTCGATACCGCTCCCGAAGTGGAGGAGCAATACACTTCTCCGCTGGAATTCCAACCGGTTACGGGCGACCGGTTCAACCCAGCTCCCAAGCGGCCATTGTCACCTCTGTCACCGCAAGTAACAACGTCAAACCGCAATGCATTGCTTCAAGAAGACGACTTGGAACTTTCCTTCGAAGGCTATGCGCTGCCTAGGGTTTTCGTGGAACACGCTGAATTTCCTCGCCTAACCACCCTGGCAAAAAAGGCCGACCCAACTAGTCAAAAATTGCGCACTTTGAACGGGCGACCAAGCTGATTCGAGAGAAGGATGTCGAATCCAACATCTTGGCGTGCACTCGCTTGCTCAATGCCGAGCCGCAAGTGGTGGCGCATTCCATGTACCCAGCGGAGGCGGAATTTGGATTGTTGAAGGCTCTGGCTTCCACCCGCACCATTCACCGTCTTATGGCCTCTCACACTGAGACCGGCGACAGCGGAGACTACACGACGTACTTGCCGTTCACGCCAAAGGCTGCCAAGATCAGCAAGAGCTTGCCCGTGAATTGGCGGCCAATCCAGCGGAGTCCACTGTTCGTTTGGCACTGGAACGGTGGATGTGTTCCTGATGAATTGAGCTCCGTACTTGTACAACAACCTCGACGCTCTGGATCACTTCTGCGGCCAACGTGCCACACGGTGGGCGACTGGCGATGTCCTGATGGATTTGTCAATCCTGAAGGTGGCGAGAACTCTCTACCCAATTCTCAAGAGCATGAACCTGCCATCGTTTATTGGGGGCACACTAGAGTTCTTGGTGGAAACGATTATGGATCACTCCACCAACCTCGACACTCTGTGCGACGAAGCGACGCACTCCATGCAAGCCACAGCGTGGGAAGACCTCCAGGTCTCCGCGTAATGCTGTTGGCTCTACACCTCCCACTACCCCACACCACCATCACGTTACTTATCTGCACTCGTTACATTTGAGTCACGATCACTTTCTTGCTCTCCCATCTGAACTCGTGAATTGGGACCCACAAATCCTCTCCATCAACACCAACGGTTTCCCCAACAGCCATCGGTACATCCCCCAAAACCTCTCGTTCACCCACGACATCGCGTTTGTCCGAGCAACGCGTTTTCGGGCTCCAAGTTTATAAGACAAGGTGTCCAACAACTGGCAACGTCTAACCAACCACGAAGGTGCTGTGTTCTTTGAACCTCCCCTCAATCTCTTGGAGCTCACTTCATCCGCCACGGGTGATTTGGCAACTTTCCTTCACCCCAACTCGCCGTTGAAGTATGAGGTGGAAATGGCACATGATAGCCCCATCCTTCCTGGCAGCTACCTGCAAATCCAGTGTATACTCGGAGCAGCGACTCTTGTCCTTCACAATGTGTATGCGCCAGAGACATGGACCGAGCGTGCGCGTTTCCTCGACTCACTGCCCCGAGATTCCCCCCCACACACGTCAGTGGATATCTGAAGATCTGGCCCGTCGTCCGAGCGTGCGTTTACTACCAAGTTTGGCTACAGCGCGCCGATCGCACGTGTCGTCCCGACCTACCATTCAAGACTCCATTGGAAACGGCAATCCACTCCGCCGGTCTCATTAACCATCACTTGACGATTCTTCTCTGGGATTTACCTCTCAAGAAGTACTGCACGAATGTCTTCAACGTCCTGCGAGTGCTATACGACGATCCGCGGTTAAAAAAGCGTGTTGTCCCGTAAGTGGTCGATACGTAGCCGAAGCCCAGCGCCAGTCATGGCCAATCGAATGCTCCAATAACCTCAGGAACCCAACCACAACATATCAATACGGTACCAAGTAATAAATTAGTTCAACAGAGCCTTGCTCGACAATTAAGGCTAACGAAACCCACCCAAGCCCCGATTTGGACCCAGATTGTGTGCAAAGTGCATGGGGTGGTCATACTGGACCTCCCAACCACCAATGCACACCTGTCGTCACGATTGTCGTCCAAAATTTCGTCATCGTCATCGTCACGGATATCGTCATCCGCGTCGTCATCTGCACCCTCGCCAATTTTGTCACTCGCACCGTCACCTGCATGGACACGGTTTTCGTCATCTGTGTCGTCGCCCGTGTCGTCGTCAGCATGATCGCGGATTTTGGCACCACTTGGGGCCGATTTCGAGCCAAAATCGTGCACTTTTTCCCTTCGAAGCCGCGATTTGGACCAAAATTGGGTCCAAATCGTGGGGTTTTCGACTTGGACCTCCCAGATTTGGACCCAGATTGTGTGCAAAGTGCATGGGGTGGTCATACTGGACCTCCCAACCACCAATGCACACCTGTCGTCACGATTGTCGTCCAAAATTTCGTCATCGTCATCGTCACGGATATCGTCATCCGCGTCGTCATCTGCACCCTCGCCAATTTTGTCACTCGCACCGTCACCTGCATGGACACGGTTTTCGTCATCTGTGTCGTCGCCCGTGTCGTCGTCAGCATGATCGCGGATTTTGGCACCACTTGGGGCCGATTTCGAGCCAAAATCGTGCACTTTTTCCCTTCGAAGCCGCGATTTGGACCAAAATTGGGTCCAAATCGTGGGGTTTTCGACTTGGACCTCCCAGATTTGGATCCAGATTGTGTGCAAAGTGCATGGGGTGGTCATACTGGACCTCCCAACCACCAATGCACACCTGTCGTCACGATTGTCGTCCAAAATTTCGTCATCGTCATCGTCACGGATATCGTCATCCGCGTCGTCATCTGCACCCTCGCCAATTTTGTCACTCGCACCGTCACCTGCATGGACACGGTTTTCGTCATCTGTGTCGTCGCCCGTGTCGTCGTCAGCATGATCGCGGATTTTGGCACCACTTGGGGCCGATTTCGAGCCAAAATCGTGCACTTTTTCCCTTCGAAGCCGCGATTTGGACCAAAATTGGGTCCAAATCGTGGGGTTTTCGACTTGGACCTCCCAGATTTGGACCCAGATTGTGTGCAAAGTGCAGGCAAGCGCAAGGTGGAAGACGATCAAGTCCTGTACACGTCAAAGGAAGGTGCTGCCAAACCACGGAAGAAGCATGCCAAGGACAACTGTCTATACTGCCACAAGATCGGCCATGATGCAGTGGACTGTCGATTCAAGAAGCGCATGTGGCCAAGGGTATCCAGCGCAAGTGTCTTCTACTGCCTGAAGAACATCAAGTCAACAATGTAGAAGCCACTGACGAAGGATTCATTCTGGCAACCACCCACGACGCAGTGGACGACTTTTCGGATGGGTGGCTCCTCGACACCGCGTGTACAGCGGACGTGACGGGCGACAAGTCCAAGTTCAGCAAGGTTTTCAAGTGCGGCGCCGTGACTCTGCGCTTGGCCGACAACTCAGCACTGACGGCGAACCACATCGGCGCATTCAGCATCCAAGTGGACGACAATTACCGCATCGAGCGTGCCAATGTAAAGTATGTGCCTGGCGTGATGAAGAGCTTGTTGTCCTACCGACAGCTCTTGCTCGATGGATTCGAACTTGTGCCCTGGGACCTGTCAAATTGCGTGATGATCAAGGCCAACTCGTGCATCGAGCGGGAAACCATACCCAAGCTGGTTCAGCGGCACCTTCGTCTAGCCCACCTCAACTTTGGAGCGATCAAGCAAGTTGCCCGCAGCAATGTGGTGGACGGATTGGATCTTACCAAGTCCGACCTGGCCCAAGACAGCTTCGAGCGGTAGCTCTACGGCGTGAGCTATTTTTCTAATTGTATGTGATGTTGATGCAGTATTGAGTGTTCCAACGTAGGACGAATTGCATGACATGAGGTGATTATATTGTGCGATTGCATCATATTTTTACATCGAGGATGAAGTGAACAGGTTAATGCTTTCATTTGATAGTATATCCAAGATTATTCATACATGATATCATTTACTAGGTTGTAGAGGTAATTTGTCACCCATTGGCTAAAAATACTACAATTGCTTCTAGCCGATTGAATGCTGCGACAATAATAAAGTAACGAAATTATGGTGAAGCACCACTTGGAACATTTTCCCGTCGTTCCCTGTATCCTTGTGCAGAATACAGTGAACTTGATAAAAGCTCGACAAAGTGGTACTCCAGGTTATATGGAAATTTGTACACGCACAGCGTTGTAGTAGATTTAGAAAAAAATTACACTTGGGAACGACGCTGAATAAGGCCGCGCGAAAAAACTTGGAATATTCGTTTAAACTATCCAATCAAATTTGATTAAATCGAATGGATGAATTCTATTGGTTATACATATTCCCGGCGATTATCAAGCCAACATACCTGTACGTTTTGATAACCTTGTAAGTCAATCCACCACCATTGCCCATGGACGTTGCAACGCCAATGCGCCGACAGCGCCCAAAGCTTGCACAAAACCTCAATGCTGTGCTCTTGGCGGAGAAAACATCCGTTCAGCACGCAGCTGCAACAACTGGTTACCCAGCAAGAGCGTGCCCCGATGGCTATATATGAGGCCAACATGATGTCGTTCAAGGGATCCAAGACACGGAAGAAGAACACTGGCGCATGCGGTGGCAAGCCCATCATCCCCCAACCACGTGAGCTGGTCACATACCTCAAGGACCTACGACGCCAGGAGATGGTCGTGACATCTGCCCTCATGATACAGTTCCTTCGCATCGACCACATGGCATGGATCGAAGACTAGGCATGGATCGAAGACTACATGGCGACGAGGAAGTATGGGTACAACCCAATGTATGAGGTGGATTTGTTCTGTAATGATAACCTTGCAGAATCTATATTCAGAGCTCACAATTTTAATTTGATTTTGTCGAAAGCTCCGAAGTCCGTTGTCCCTGATTGGACTACAATGCCCTCGGACCAATCACAGATAGCTGCAGCGGTCTTATTCAGCATCGTTCCCTGTTGCTGTTTTGATTCGCCCAAGAAGAACAAATATATTCAAAATAACCGCTTGTTCAGCCACTCATCGGCATCCAAGAAGTCACGTATACCCTTGACGACACGAATTGGTACGCGCAAGCGCAGCCATCGTTCGCCTCATTCAATGTGATGCAGGCGTGGCAAAGAGACCCCGTACATGGTGGTTCTTCGAACCACCATGTACTGCGACGAAAGGCAAGGTTGGCGGAGGAGGGAACGACGACGATGGCGCCTGCGCGCGTCCGTCGCTCCCTTGGAAAGCACACATGAGGTTCCAGGTCGACCTCGCGGCATACATTATCGACACGGCCATTTCGTCAAAGAAGGGCCAACGATCGGGATCCTCTTGTTCTGGGTCTTCCTCGATCTCATCTGGATCCCGTACGAAGTGTACTAATTTCTTCCACATCGTCCAACGCATCGCGATGGCCAGGAAAACTTGCGCCGTCTGGTGAATCGAGCCGAACTCGCGGCCAAGTTTCCGTCCAGTACGTCCGAGTGCCGGTCGACAGGTCTGACGCCGCTCGCGTGTCCAATGCATTCTCGTTTGCGGATTTTGCACCGTGACGCGGGGGTGAATAGAACCTGTGGACCGTGCGCCGCGGCGTTGACGGCCTGCTTTTGACGTTCCGCGACGGTCTCTAGTGCTTTCCACTGCTCGATGGAGACGACGCAGCGTTGTCGCTGCCGCGGAAAAAGTCCAAACACCTCGACAAAGCCACGACGCCCGACAGCAGCGGCGAGGACGCTGTCGCACCCAAGGACATTCCGTCCATGGACGGAATGGCAAGGGTGCCTCACGTTTGCCGAGTGGAAAGGCGCGGTCGCCATGTATTTTGTGTGCGGCACACCGCTTGTCATGCCTGGCATTCAGTTGCGACGCCGGCGAGCACAATCTTTGGCATTGAAGACCAGGATATGAAGTTCATCGAGCTCGTTCAAGATATCGTGGGGCAGCACACGGGAGCCACCCATTCCGTCGTACGATTCCAGCCC